TCATCACATACAATGTGATAGAGTGAATATATCTTTAGAACAAAATATTAATTCGAGGGAACAAAATATTATTTCGAGGGAAGAAACAATATTTTGAGGGAACAAAATCATTTCGTTCCCTCGAAATAATTTCGAAATATTATTTTGTTCTCTCGAAATAATATTTCGTTCCCTCGAAATGATTTCGTTTCTTCGAAATATAATTTCGTTCCCTCGAGATAGTTCAATATTTTTTCTAACCATGTCCCAGGCTTTTTAGCTCCATAAGGCTTCTCTGCACTAAAGTATACAATAATGTCAAATTCTTATGCTTAACTCAATTTAACAATTAGCTACTGGTTTTTGGGATGCAAGCCTCATGTTTCTCTATCCTCACCCACACTCCATGTCCATCTTTTCTATAGCGTCTTGGTTGTCCCCCTGGGAATAGGTCAGGCCCAGGTTGAGGGGTGTAAAATCACATATTTCAGGGTTGCACGCACATGGCTCACAAAATCAAGTGGCTCGACACCAGGTGAAGTGGAGAGGTTATGTGAAAGTCATCATCAAATAAGTTAATGAACTTAACTAAATACTGTTTAGTTAATTCAGAAGTTTAATGTATAATGTTATTTTATTTTGTTAACTATTTTACAATATTTTATTGTATTTTTTCTTACTGCATTTTGTCATAAAATTTTAGCGCATCATTTATATATCCAACTTTATAGCTTCAACGTTTAGTACTGTATACGGTACGTAAGCATGCAATATGGGAAGCCATTCTGATAGTGATTCCACAGGATATTGTTTTCTCATTGTTATGTTTTTGTTTTATTGTTGCCTGGAAATTGAATAAAATAAAAATAAATAAATTATTGACAAATTCTACACTTGCAGATAATATTATTTTACAATGTCAAATTTTGTTATTTTATTTTCAAAAACTGATTACTAATAACTAACGTTCAAATACTTACACCTTCAGCATAACACTTCAACGAATAGTCTTCTTGCAGACCTTTGGAACTTTTTGTCATTTTTCTCATATCTTCTTTGTTTACAGTAAAATTATAAATTATTATTTTAATTTGAAATCCCTAAATGTCATTTAATATATGAATTATAATAATATAAATTTAATTACTCTAATAATAATTTATTATAATCACATACAATGTTAATAATGTTTTTGTGTAGATTTTGGTTTCTTTTTGTTGTAATTATTTTTTAACAATATTTCTTTTTCATTGTCCATATGCTTTTTGTGTACGGAGGACAGTGGCCCTGCCGCTTTGGCTATTGCTTGGCATGGATTTCGGGTTTTCTTGTTATGTTTTTCATGCAATTTGCTCTGTATTTTGTTTTACTTCTTTGGTAATATATTTTTGTATTTTTTTTTAATTGCAAAAAAGTATAGAATAAAATAAATTAATTTTCTGTCATCACAATAATATTGAGTTTTGAACTGTGTACTCCAGAAAAAGCGATGCTGATCAAAGAAGTTCAAATCTTAAGCTGTGTCCACACTGTCAAATTAGGTGACAAGTAAATGTCACATGCCCATATTTGGATGTATATGACATCATCATGCCCATATATGGACACATCACAATTGCCACATAAAATTTGATAGACAGAGCTTTTAATGGATAAGAATCCATTGCTGATTGCACAATTAAATAAATCACTCACCTCATAAAGAGTAT